TTAGTTTGGTCTCCAACTTCCCAGTCTTTCGTAGTAGGTCAAGTACATACTTTCTCTGTGAAATGAAGATCCCACGCTTGGATCTTGCAACTTCAATCCCCAAGAAGTATTTGAGCACACCAAGATCTTTGATCTCAAATTCTTGTTGCAATGATTTTTTGAGATCATCAATCTCCTCCAAATCATTTCTTGTCACCACTATATCACCCACATACACAATCAGAATTGACACCAGAGCATCTCTCTTCTTCACAAAGAGGGTGTGCTCAGACTGTGTCTGTGTGTATCCAAAACGGATGAGTGCCCCTCTGAACCTGTCAAACCAAGCCCTAGGTGACTGCTTCAGTCCATACATGGATTTTCTGAGTCTACACACCTTTCCTTTACCAACATTTTCATAAAAGCCTATTGGAATGTCCATATATACCTCCTCCTGTAAATCACCATTTTTTTATGAATCCTGTAAATCACCACTGAGGAAAGCATTTTTGACATCAAGCTGGAACAAGGGCCATGAATAAGTGGCTGCTAAAGATAAAAGGATACGAACTGAATTCATCTTAGCTACTAGTGCAAAGGCTTCCAGATAATCAACACCATAGGTCTAAGTATACCCTTTCGCTACCAACCTTGCCTTATACCTCTCTATCTTGCCATCAGCATTATACTTCACTGTGAATACCCATCTACATCCGACTGCCTCCTTGTCTAGGGGGAGATCAACTATTTCCCAAGTTTGGTTTTTGACCAAAGAATCCATCTCATCTTGCATGGTTGTTTTCCACTCTGGTTTGGAGAGAGCCTCAGTAACATTCCTGGGTATAGACACAGAATCCAGGGAAGAAAGAAAAGCACGGTAGGAGGGTGATAAGGCACTGTAGGAAAGATGGTGTGAAATGCAGTGGGTTGTACACTTTCTCATCCCCTTACGAAGTGCAATGGGAAGATTAAGGTCAATGGGGTCAGCTGCAACAATGGTGTTAGGCACAGAAACATTATCATCAAAAAACATAACAGGCTTAGGCTCAAGAGGAATACCTGGAACTGTATTTGCCAAATCTGGAGTTTCAGAAGGACTGACAGAGAGTGGTGTGGGTTGAGGATGTGTGGAGTCAACCATCATCTGTCGGTGTTGATATTTCTGTGAGACTACCCGTAGTGGCTCAAGTAATGAAACTAGAGGTGTAGGTGCTAGCTGAACTGATGCAGATGCTGGCTGAACTGATGCAAATGCTAGTTGAACTGATAGACGTGCTAACTGAACTGATAGAAGCACCAAAGAAACAAGAAGAGGAACAGATTGTGAGTTCTCCTCTCCAAAACTCTCCCCCTAAGGAGAACCGCTCGAGAAGAAGAAGGTGAATTCAAAGAAGGTAACATCCATAGTGACAAATCTGCTCCTCGACAGTAGGTCATAACAGCAATACCCTTTTTGGTTCTGAGCATACCCGAGAAAAACACATTTCTTGGCCTTAGGATCCAATTTCTTGCAATGATGGTCAAGAATGTGAACAAAAGAAACACAACCAAAAACCCTCAGAGGTATATGAAATATCTCCCTATCTGGAAAAAGAAGACTAAATGGCACCTTAAACCCCAAAGTACATGAAGGAACACAGTTAATCAAACGCACGGTTGTAAGAACTGCATCTCCCCAGAACTGCACAGGAACTGGAGCACACACCATAAGACTCCTTGCCACCTCCACGATGTGTCTGTTTTTCCTCTTAGCAACTCCATTCTGTTGCAATGTATATGCACAATTGCTCTAATGAACTACACCATGTTCTAAGAGATACGTGGTCAGGTCCTTCTCAAAGTACTCTCTAGCATTATCTGATCTAAAAGCATTAGTTCCCACACCAAATTGTGTGAGAACCATCTAGTGGAATTATCTTACCAAGTTAGGAACCTCATCACGTGATCTCATCAAATATATCCAAGAATATCGTGTATAATCATCCACAAACAAGAGAAAGTAATGGAATCCTCCCATTGAAGGGATATGATATGGCCCCATACATCAGTGTGAACAATATTAAAAGCAGAAGTACATCTTTTATTACTTGGTTTAAAAGACTATCTACAGTGTTTTCCTAACTGACAACTCTCACACTCCAAAGTAGATAACTAAACAAACTCAAACAACTTTGGGAAAAGACATTTCAAATAACTAAAAGAAAGATGTCCCAAGCGATTGTGCCAAAGCATAATCTAATTCATTGACTCTGACCCACTACTACTGCTTCTACTAACATGATGGCCCTGATGTCTTGGAATCTCATCCAGAAGGTAGACTCCATTCACCTCACGACCACTCCCAATCATCTTCTTTGACTCCAGATCCTGCAAAACACAATTACCAGGAAAAAAGGTCACAGAACAATTCAATTTTTTTGTCAAAGAACCAACAGACAGTAGGTTGGTATGAAGTCTAGGAACATGTAAAACAGAACATAGAGTTATATCATTGGTCACTCTAACTGTCCCCTTCCCAGCAATGGGCATATGTGAACCATCTGCTGTAGAGACTATCTCTACCAGAGCACAACTGATAGGAACTAAAAATGGTAGGGGCATTAGTCATATGCTCATATACTCCTGAGTCTATAATCCAAGGAGGTCCCTCCTTACCTGAAGTGGATGCAAGATTTGCAGTTGCATATGAACTACCTATATGTGCAAAAGAAGTGGTGTAGTTGGCTCCTGCATTCTTCTGTCCATCTGGAAGGCTAGAGCTAGGTGAATCTTTCTTACTCATAAGTTGTCCAAACCTCTTCAATTTTGTTCTCATTGTTGCTACTGCAATGGATTCCCAATCAGTTTGGGAAAGAGGGGTTGAAGAGTCTCCTGTAGTGGCTACATTTGCATTCCCTTCTTGTTTCTTATTCGAGCAGTCATATGATTTGGATGAAGCTTCCAACAAGTGTCCCTGGTATGCTTAGGCTTCTTGCAATAATCACACACCAAGTTCTTCTTATCTTCCCTTCTAGTCTCACTACTCTCCCTGTCTCCATTCGGCTTAGGTTTTATTGTACCAACCATAGCCGGCTGGTCAATCCCAGGCTGTCTCAACATTATATTTCTCCTACTCTCCTCCTCTCCAGAGACAAAGGCATAGGCCTGAGAGAGTGTCACACCCTCCCTARAAAGAATATGYTRCYTARCAATGTCAAATTCRGRRTTCAGCCCTGCCAAGAACTCAAAAACCCTATTCCTCTCTACCAGTCTGTGATAAGTTGTTGCATCATTTACACTTTCCCATACCACAGTTTCTAAGGGATCTATTTCCTGCCATAAGGTTTTCAGCATGGAGAAATACACAACAAGAGGTTTTTCTCCCTGTTTCATACTTATCACCTGATTTCTCGACTGATAGGTTGTGGCTTCATTTTGCTTCTAAGAGTAGGTTTTAGTCACTCTATCCCAAATCTCCTTAGTAGTATTAGCCCTTAGGAAATTTTTTGCAATATAAGGTAACATAGAATTACACAGCCAGGAGGACATTACCATGTAATTCTCCTACACCCATCGGGAAGAGTCTGTATTAGGTTTATTTTCCTCCCCAGTGAGATACCCTAATTTTCCATGGGCACCAATAGCCATTTTAGTTGATTGTGCCCACTCCAAATAATTTGTACCATCAAGTTTTACTGTAGTAATGATCCCAGACCCAAAAATATCACTACTACCTCCAACACCTAGTCCCACAGTACCAGTGGATTTCATCTCGGTATTCCAACTCTCCATCTTACTTAAAGCAGTTCAACAGTAAGAAAAAATAGATTGGAGACCTTTAAAAAATAATTTAATATCACACACACAGAAATCAGCCCTTCCGGAAGAAGAAAGCCCTAGCTGGAGGGAAATCTCTCTCCTCCCCACGCCTCCCAACATAGAGAAAAGTGAATCGATCACTCTGCGAGGCCCAGAAAATTCCAGAAACCAAACCGCCCTCTTTAGAAAATCAAAAGAAAACTAACAATACCTGGGCACCCAAGATCATATCAAAAACAAATAATCCAACTTTTCTGGGACTCTTCCCCGTACTCCAATTCTTCCTGATTTTGATGCCGAACAGTAGATCACCTTCCTGATGACTAGATCCCACCAAAAAATCCAAGAACTAGGCAATTTATAGCAGATCGATCAGCCCTTTACTACTTCATGCAGTCGGCTGATCTAGGGCTGCATGAGAATGCTTCAAGAAACCCTAGTCGATGCTCTTATACCAAGTAGAAATCTGTTGAATTAAAAAAATATGAAAGAAAAGTAATTTCTTGAAGAGAGAAGGAAGAGAAAAGAAGAAGAGAAGAAGAGAAGTTGAAAAGAAAAGAGAGCAATCATCTGGCCACCCCCTTCACTTATTATTTATACTAAAAATAATATAACAGTACAAAGACAATTATGCCCTTATAGGGCGGAAAAACATAAAACAGCATATATAACACTCAAAAGCATAATAAAATTTGGACTCRCATAACTACTGTGGTCCCCACCTCCTATCTAACAACTAACATAAAACATCTATACTCAAAAAATCATCATAAAACTGATTAATCTTCAACAGTTTCTCTCCGCCCATACTCCCCACAGTAGCATGAGCCACTCCTAGAAAATTTATCCCCTTTAAGCCCAGTCATTAAGTCTTGTTTCTCCATTCCAGTATCTTTTAGACTTCTAACCTCCCCAAGCATAGGACCAATAACACCACTAATACAAAGAACCTATCTTTTTTGAGAACGTTTAACCCATAGAAATTGCCTACAAAATAACTAGAGGTTAAAACAGGGGGAGCCATACGCCCTCCCCAACCCAACCCCACCCCTAAAATAAAAGAAAAGAATGGCCCTGGAACTATGGAATAAAATCCAAATTCAAAGTAACTGCAATTTTCTTCAATCATAAATAACTCTATATCACATACTAAAGTGTTAGTACCCCTTGATGGCACTATAACATCGCATTTCATCATTACCATATTCAAAGAAAGTACTTACTCAAGCATCTTTGACAGGAGGTCATATGGAGGACTTTTCTGAGATAGATGAACAACACTGTAGAGACCAGGATTGTCACTGCTAGCAGAACAGCAGGGGGGATTAGTATGAAAGAAAGAGATCCAAAATAATAGATAATAAATCCCTAGAAGAGTAAATCCAAGAGAAAATTTAACCCAAGAAGGTGGCAGAGAATAAAACTTACTACTTACGCCCTTGGATATGTTGTTGATCTGATTGCCAATGTGGAAGATTTACAAGTGTTGGCCACTTTTCTTGCGTGGGGTGGCCTGAAAAGATAGATTGTTAAAACATTTTGCAGCAAATCCCAAAAGACAGAAAATATCAAATCAATGGTCTCTTACCTAGGACTTTAAATATCTTGTCAAGCTGATCAAGCTGAATGAGTTAATAAAGTATTAGGAAACAATGAATAGAATATGTTAAAAATTGACAAAGATATTAGGAATCATATATTGTAATTAAAACAAGGATCAATTAAGGAAGAAAAACGATGTACATCAATGTGCATCAAAACCAGTCTGGTACCTGAAAGGGGTTAGGTGTGGCTTTAACTTCTGCTCCTTGAAAAAGTGGCTTTAAAGTCAGTAACTCAGCAAAAATACATCCAACAGCCCACATATCTAATTACAATTTTAAGGGGAAATTTTCCACTTGGAGATGAACAAACCTTGTTCAGTTTTCAATGGTTTTAAAGAATGAAAGAAAATAAAAACCAAAGCTATTCTCTTAAGAGAATATTTTACAGTTAGAAATATATGATTCTTATTTTGTTTTTAAATAAACAAAATTGTTATTCAGTTTTCAATGATTTGTATCATAACAATCAAAATTATTTGCAAAAAATATGTAGTATGATCTATTATCACAGGATACCAACAGCACTAGTATAGTGCTTAGCCCCAAGAAGTAGCTCAGGTGCCCGATACCAAATAGTTACAACAACCTGCCAAAAGCATTTACATCAAATATTAACATAAAAGAGAAGCAGAACTGTAGGAAAAAATAAATAAATTTGAGAAAAGTATAAAATATAGATACACAAGAACATTTACTTATTAGATATATTTTTATAGATCTTAGACATAATCATTTCCAGCTGCAAAAGGCCATATTTGGAAGAGATATCTATTTGAGTACGCCCTTGTGGAGACCCACATACCACTAATAAGCCCCTTGCAGTTCATGAGATGATAATCCTTAAGAAGGGTAGTCCATGGGTTTCATTATATGAATATTCGCTGTTGAACCATGATATACGGACATGGCAAGGACACTGCATGCACTATATTCTTCAAATGTACACTAAAAAGTGGACTGCGTGTACTATATTCTTCAAATGTACACTAAAAATTGGAAATTTTGAAGTGTGCAACATGGACAAAGAACCTATCTTGAGGTGCCTATGCAGCACATATGAAGAACTTAGTGCTTGCAGCAGTTCATAGGACACATTAAGCTGATCTATTGATTCTAGAGCTAGTATCTTTTTTTCTCTTTTGAGAAGAGGTAGATTATAGAATTTCATTAATCGAAAAAACATGTAAAACTAGATGCTGTACTCTAGAGATATTATCTTGATTATGATGTGTACAAAATTATCTCTAATATTCAATCTAGAAGACTTGGAGAGGTTGTAAAATATGTTATTTTACTACTTGAGAAAAAAGACATAGTGTTAAATAGAGATTCCTAATTATTTTCAGAAAAAGTTGGTCTTGCACAAGGAGAAAATGGCTTGGTGCTTGTATTTTCTTCTTTTGAAATGCAAGGCATTTGAACATGGTCCATAACAGTAAAAGAAACAGAAAAGAAGAAGAAGAAGAAGAAGAAGAAGAGAGATAGCAGTAACATAGAACTAGAAGAACAAAATGGGCTGCTGATTGGGGAGAAACTTTTAATCTCCCAATCAGCCAGATCTCTTCATCTACATGATCTACCATCTCATAAAACAATGGTCAACAAAAAATAGGATAAATGAGGAATAAAACAGAACTGCTGATACTCCTCATCAAGTTACATAAAAAATGGTCAACAAAAATCAAACATAGTAGCAACAGAAAATAGGATAAATGAGGAATATCCCTGAAAGCCTGTTACTGACAACCTTGATTTAAGTCTTGCCACAGCATTCCTTAACACTTCTTCCTGAGGTGTTTTGTTGTCAAATAGTCTCATATGTTGTTATGTCCAAACAGACCATATAACTGCTGAAGGTATAGAACCCCAGGCTATTTTATTGCTCCTATTTAACTCTTTGATGTGCCATCCTGGCTTATGTACTGTTCTGGGGAAATACCAACTAAGGTTGAGAATCTGCAAGAAAGGGGCTGACTGAAAAGTGAATGAAGAGATGGTCTGCCAATTCAACGCCAAACTGACAGAAAGTTCAGTTGGCTGTAGGAAGTTCCATACCTCATTTTTTTCATCAAATTGCCTCTAGCTAGACATTTCCCCAATAAAGAAATACAAATCATGAAAGCAATGTTAGATATAACTGGGGGATCCTACACCACCCAACAAGGAGAAGGGTTTTGGCTTGGTGTTGATTCAAAGGATTTATGATTGTATATCATATGCATATTTCTCCATTAATGGTTCCCTAAGGGTTTTCTCTAAGAAAAATTAGGTACTAGATAGGGTGTTCTATCTTCCTTCCTGTTTATCATTGCAAGAGATGATTGAATAGATAAATGAGCAAAGCAAAGAGCTTAGGTCTGCTTGAAGGTTTTTAGGTGAGGGTAAGGACATTGACATGTCTCACCAGTTCACGAAGTCAGTACTCTCATTTAATCCAAAAACTCAAGGATGTAAACTGCTTTGAGTGGTTATGACTGAAGCCCCGTTTGGGAGGGCTTCTGCATTGACCGAACCACTCTGGAGAAGCTACTTAAGATAGCTTCACCGAAAAGTTAATTTTTCTACTCAATGTAAGCCTATTTCTGGCTTTCCAGTTTTTTTACCAAACATGGATTAAGTACAGCTTTCTGAGTTTCTCAGCTCATATAACACCAGAAGCTACAAATTTGGCCAACAGAGCTGGAGTGTTTAGCCCATGTTTGAAAAGAAATTAGCTAGGAAGAACTCTTGCATTGCTAGTTGCATTAATTCTCATTCCTTGAAAATAGTATTCAACATATGACATTATTATGAGGTTCATCACAGTCAGAAGAGATCAAACCGGAGTGATCCAACTTTTTTTTATCAATCGGAGTAACCCAACTTGTAGGAATTCACTTTCTATCTCATTGCTTAAAAGCCAAAATCAGTCAACACAATTAGATAATAAGCAGCCTGAGCTAGAGACTGGGATCATTTTATTAGATTGTGAACGCACACAGAAGTTGTTTAGTGTCATTGAGGATTTTTGAGATTTAGTCTCTTCTTTGAACATATTGTTCTTACTTTCCCAATAAAATCTAATGATAAGGAAGATCTTTTTTTAGCAAGTGGAGTTAGCATGGATGTTCTGAGCATTCATGCTAATGTGCTAGATATTTTCTTCAAATGATAATGCATAAGCAAAAAGAAAAAATATTACAAACCACATTCCATGAAATTCTTGAAGAAATTCTTCCAGTTTTTCACCAATTAGATGCATGCATAAGTACAAATGTAGTTTACCAAAACAAACAGGTCATAGTATCAGTCCGCATTTTTTTTATTAGTATCAGTCTGCATTTTAAACTTAGAGCAAAGAAAAGTTGCATAGATCTGCAAATATAAGTACTAATGTGACTGAAGAAAACTGCGGGTACCATACCCCATTTTCGGATAAAGGCTTCAATGGAGCTTGATATATTCTTGCAAGTCCAAAATCAGCAATTTTAACAACACCTTGCTCTTCTCCCTCACCCATAACCTGGACCATAGAAAAGTCTTCATGAGCAAATGGTAGCATATGTAACCTAAAGCAGCAAGCAGCATAAATGTAAACTTGTTCATAAATTATCACTTGAAAAAATAATAATCTCAGCATATTTGTTAGAAGGAAGTGGCACCATGAGTACAGCAGCCATACCAAAATGTTTGATGGCTTTAGATCTCGGTGTATAATCCAATTACTGCAGTGAATCAAAATATATGAAGAAACAAATAAATAAGAGTTTGCCCAGAGACCAGAGTCTTGGATGAATTCCAGGTTAAGAACTGCTAGTAGAACTATCTAACTCATACACCAGTATCATGCAAGTGAAAGCCTTGCCTGTGAAGATAGTTCAACCCATTGAGCAACTGCCAGAGCAATGATTTAATTGTGTACTGATTGATAGAATGGTTAACTTTTTCTCTATGATGTCTGATAATTTCCTGTCACAAAAATCAAGAGGAAGAAACAGTGAAGATATGACAGTGTATTGACTAAAATTGCAAGTAAACCTTTTAAATCATAAACATGAATCTCACTCTTCCCAACTGTTGAAGGCTTGCAGCACAAAAGAGGGGGGGAAACATTTGTTAATATGCTCTTATCTTTCATCAATAAATTTTATTCAAGCAGTAAAATAATAACCATCTGGGAATCCTAGAAGAGTCCTAATAACAAGAAGTTTCATAGATAACTACTCTCTACGCTACTCCCAGATGAGACCATGCCAGGGTTGGCATATTGTGACACTGAATGGAGCAAAATATTCAACCTAGCTGCCAAGACTCAATCTTTAACACAATGTATCTATGGCAAAGGACCACCGGTCCCTTTCTCATCCAACCACTGACAGTCTGAGTTCCCCCTCCACCATCATTGCACTAAATCCAATTGAAAATATCAGCTTGGAGGCCATATAAAAGCGTAAGGATTTTTGCTCCCCTGGAATCCCCTGATTCAATTGATCTTGAAAAGAAAAGAAAAGAAATACTGTCTCTGAAGCCCCTCCCAAAAAAAAAAAAAAGACGAGAGAAGTGGAGATCTTGGATTTTCACAATTCTCCACAATTAACAAACATCAAAGTTGAAATTGATTACCCCTTGAGGAAGGAATAGAAACCAAGAAACAGATATTGATGGCACATCAAGTACTGACCAAGGAAGAAGAGTTTGTGGAGATCATAGTGGACTCCATTTTGAGAGGTTGACTAATGGTGGAAGATTTTACCTCTAGAAAATAGCAAGCTATTCAATCTTGGACAACAGCGGAGATGGGGATGATAAAATTGAAGTTCAGTGGATGCTGTTTTAGTAACCCAAGGTCTTCAGAAATTTGGAGTTTATTCAGAGATCATAATAGAAATATCCTGCTTAGCCATTTGGGTCCAGCAGGTAGAGGAATGCCTACAAGGATTGAACTTCTTGCTCTGCTCCAGGGGTTTAGACTGACCTGTTCCTCGTGCTGGAATAAACTGTTGGTGAAGGAGACTGCCAAGTACCAATTGGCCTGTTCCTTTCAAGGAGTGATAACTCTTGGCCTCTCAGAAGGTGGTAAAGTGGAGCCCACCAGGGGATGGGAGATGCAAACTAAACTTTGATGGGTGCTGCCTTGGGAATCCCAGGGAATCTGGTGTGGAGGAGTGGTTAGGGATTCTCATAGTAATATAATTCTCAATTATTCAGGGCCAACTGGGTTTGGGAACTCCCTAAGGGCAGAGTTCTTAGCCTTAATTCAAGACCTCAAATTGATATTGCAGTAGGGTTTAAGGAATATAGTAGTCAAGGGGGGTTGTCAAATAATCATATCATGGATGAAATCTTAAGATCAAATTCCTTGGCAGTTCAGGCATGTAATATGTAAGAGATTTCTGTTTTATTTTTTCTTTGGCCTCTGTGGAGGAGCTGTTGTATTTACAGGCCTCTGTGGTGTTCTTTTGCTTAATGAAATTTTTCCTGTTGCTTATGAAAAATAAATAAATAAAATTGCCTTTTTTTATATCAGCAACACAGAAGTTCATTCATTCATTCATTAATAAAAGATAAACATTACAACCAGAAGTTGTGAAGAAACTGTCTAACCCAATACAAAGCAGTCCCATCCGTTAAACTATTGGCAGATCTCCTAACCCACTTGATCTGAATTGTCATATTTCTTGAAAGCCATTTGAAGTGCCTGTATTCATTTCTAAGCTTCCAAATCACCCCTTCACCTTTCTTTAACCACCCCACTACCAGTTTCGAGTCATCTTCAAGAACCAATATTTCTGCTCCCATGTCTCTAGCCATCTTTAACCCAGATACTGCAGCAAAAAAATCTGCAGTTACAGCACCACCTTGTTCAATTTGGCCCGAAAATAAAGCCCGTATAGTGCCACCTCATCTCTAATCACTCCTACAATTCCTGACAGACCTGGATTGCTCAGACTACTTACTACTACCATCAAAGTTCAATTTCAATCACCCAGCCATTGGGGGAGACCACACCTCAAGGGGTTTTTGTTTCCTAGAGGAGGATCCAGCAATTGGCCCCCAACAAAAATAAAAATCACTCTTGATCCCTTAAGTATCTATTAAGAGAAGCTAAGACCCCAGCATCCAGCATGAACTACTACACTGCTTGTTCAACTGGACTCAAGATTGGAAAATATGGCTGCTGATTCCTTAGAAATGGGAGGGTTGAACAGGAAAAAGGGCAATGGACCCAGGTAAGGTTGTAAATTGTGTTTAACTATTTGGATGTCTGAAACAGTTATGGCACTGTTTTCAGGATTGATTGGTTATGGAGACTCAACAAGGACAGAATTGATGGCAGAGTTATACAGGTTAATGTTGGGAAGTAATCTGAACTACAAAAGTTTTTTTTTGATAATTAACTACAAAAAGATTATAGTGGAGGAGATTCCAAAGCAATTGTGGGATGGCTAAGAAATAGAGCACCAGGAAATTGGATATACAGATGCATGTCAAGGGAAATCAGGTTATTGGCAGAAGAATTGGAAGCAACTTTTCAGTGGGTTCCAAGATGTGCAAATAGCATGGCTGATGCCTTAAGCAGACATGGGGTAATCAGGACTGAACTATATTGGGGTGAGGTTCCAAGGGGAGCCTGATTTAAGGAGTGTAGGGATATGTGGTTTATGCTGGCCGGCTGGTCCACAACAAATACTCTTATGTAAATTTGAATTCTGTTCATGAGCTTTAATAATTTGATTGTTACAATCAAAAAAATATTTGGACATTTGAATGCGAGCCTTTGGCAGTTTTGTACTGGCATCCTTTCCTTCCAATTTCTTCACAATGTTGGGATATTTTCTTTTTTGTTACATCCAATGAAGTTTCAGACTGCTGTTACTGATCAAAAAAGTGTAACATCCTCTACCATGGTTAATAGAATGCAACCTCAGTGCACATAAGTTCCAAGCTCCAAGAAACAAAAAATCAAAGTGACATCATGAAACATGCTCCAAAAAAATAAATAAATCTGAAAAGAAATGCAAGAAAATCCAGCATTTAAACAACAAATGCCAAATCAAAATGATTCTTTTAGCATTTTTGTAGTTAAGAGTAAGGAGTCCAGCTGCCTTGGGAATTGGTTTGGTCTTCCTATGAACAGCTTTCCTTGATAAAATCCGGATGACAAACCTCTAAACTTCAAGAGAATCTGTGACTGGCAATGTATGCCTCGTCTGGAAGAAATTAGAAATTGGTTGTTCACTTATTACCACATTTCGAGTATGCTGTAACCATGTGACATCATTTCACTAGATTGTTTGCCCATCTAGGGTCACCACGCCAAGAATTTGTTAACAGGAAAGGGAAGATTGCATAAATATCTGTTTGCGAGATGACCCCTTTTGTGCAACCTTCGGCTAATTACACTACAAGCGGGTCCTATCCTATCGCTATCTTAGGGATTTATACAGGAGGAACCCAACGATTCTTCCTAAAGCTTTCCTAATCTAGAAAAATAAATAAATGTATCCAAGTGCATCCACAACTAGGTGATCATTGAAATTTATAATCAAAAGCAATGATATCTATTATTTTCAAATAAAGTGAAACTTCCGTTTCATGTACTCAAATTTGTACCCTCAATTCTCAATCCAATTTCTCCAAATACACCAAAAACTAAAACAGCCTCAGCTGTTAAAAAGAAAAACAAATATACTAACATAGAGATCATGCTCGGCGTAATCGAACGCGAGATAAAGCGACATGTCGGCATGATTGATGTGCACATTCACAAGCTTAACAACGTTCTCGTGATTGATCTCCCTGAGTAACTAAACCATAAAAGATGCAAACCACACCAGTCAGAAACAAAATTGGGTTTTCAAAAACAAGAGGAAAAAAACAAGAACAAGGCATACCATGATTTCGCGGATGGCGGTGGGAGATACGCCATCGCCGTCCTTGGACTGCTTGAATTTCTTGATGGCGATGCACTTGCCGCGGTTGGGGTTGGACTTCGTTCGGGCGAGGAAGACGAGGCCGTAGGTTCCCTCGCCGATCTTACCAATCAGGTCGTACTGCTGCAACCAAGCCGGCTTGTTGCTGTTGCTGTTGCTGCCGCTGCTGCTATTGGCGGTGGCGGTGGCGTTGTTGTGGGTGGAACTCCCAATGCTGCCTCTGCTGCTCATGCTGCTGTTGCCGCTGCCTGCGCTCATCAACTCCTCCGAGACCGCATCGATTGGCCCCGACCGCGAAAACCCCAATTCGTTTTCTTGGAGGAAATCAGGATTCAAGAATTGGGCTTGTTTTTAATTTATATTTGGTTCGGTTCATTTATTTATGGGTTCCGCGGATGATACTGCTGTGGGGGCCGTCGGGCAGTGGACTTTTGAGGGATGAAGGCGCGCGCTGGGGTGGGGCCTGGGGATCTACGTCAAGTCATCGGACTTTTTTGGAACCGTCCAGAATATTGGCTTCGTGGTAGGGTTTGTCTGGCCCTCGACTCGAATGTGGAATATCATCATGGGTTTCTAGCATACAAGGCCAACTTTTGGGGTTTAATATTAATAAAAGTAATATATTTAAAAAATTCAAAAATAGGTTAACTTTTTAAACATAATATCAATAAAGGGCAAAAATACCATTCATCTTCTTCTTCTTGCCATTTGTTCACCAGAGCCATCGTTCATCACCATCTGATGCCACCTCCGCCAACGTTGCTGAAGGTGACCAGAGGCAGAGGTGGTGGCGGCGGCGCTAGTGGTTTCTCTGTCCAATGCCACCACCTCTGCCTCCGCCTCTGGCAACATTGCCGAAGATGGGTGGAGACAGAGGTGGTGGTGGCGACAAGCAGAGGAATGACCACCAGCATCGCCACCGCCACCTCCAGCAACGTTGGCGGAGGTGGGCGGCGGCGGCGGCGGCAGACAGCGGTGGCGAGCAGCGGCTTTGATGAACAAATGGCAAGAAGAAGAATATGAACAGTGTTTTTGCCCTTTATTGATATTAATTTTATAAAGTTAACCTATTTTTGAATTTTTTTTAAATATATTACTTTTATTGATATTAAACACCAAAAGTTGCCTTATATGCTATCTTAGCCTGGCCCATGGTGCATTTGGAGGGTTAGATAGTGAGATTCATTTGGAATCAAGACTAAAGGCTAGGGCTGTAATTGGGTTGGATTTGGATTGGATCCAAATATCCAACTACAATACAATTTTATTTGATTATTGAAAATTCAAATCCGAATTTGATTGGTGTAAGGCAATGGGTTTATATTAGTGTTTTAAAAACCAACCTGAATGTCAGAACCATTTTTGCCTTTGGATCGCAGGTCATCTATTTGATCGGACGGGTAGGACAAGTAAGCCCGTGCTACGTCAACCATATCTGTGTGTATATATACATGTACATATATGTGTATAGGTATGTATAAACATGTATTTATCAATAAATAATGTATAATTATGTTAAACTTTTTATATTTAATTTGATTTTAATTTTTTTTATTTATAAAAATATACAAAAATTACAATTTGAAGCCAAAGGGTTTTTGGAAAAAAAAATGGGGATCTCGAAAAGTTACCCAAAATCAAAAAAACACCTCAATAGGACATTGGAGTGCAAAGCTATGGCCTCCTAAAATTTGCATACATAGTATTGCAACCCATGACCTGGTTACCGGGTCAAACGGGTCAATGCTTCAACCGTCTATGTCATATGGGTTTTGAACAAGCCAACCTTTTTTTACCTTCTTTGGATTTTACTTGAAGCGGACCTGAAATCTTGATCGAGTGGCAGTTCAAGCTGTTCAACTGACCAGGTCAAAAATAGGTTAAAAAACATTGATTTATATATACATGGGCCCAACTGACTTGATACAAATCTGATTAGGCCAATTCAAGCCAATTTCCTACTCGAGCACAAGTATTTGTGCCGGTTTAAATATATTTCTTTGGAATAATAAGGCTGAGTTTGGAAGGAGTACAAATGCAAATATGTAAAGTGCAAAACCTTATATTTTGTATTATTTTGCATGTATTTACGCTGTACATATTTGCATTTATACTGCTTCCAAACTGATCCTTATTGGCAAAATAGGCAAAGATAAGAAAAGGAAGATTCTAGATTATGGAGTTCCAAAATACTATAAAGAGGGCATAGGAGGACATCATGCCCATATGGGGACCCCTTAATACCATATTGATTAAACCCATTAAGAGGGAGGAGAGACCAACGCTTTATCTCTTTCCCTTTCCTAAACCATCAATCTCTACAACCACCATTTTGAAGTTGGACCATCCCCATCCCCAAATTGGGCTTACAATTGGACATCTAACTTGATTTAGGGGTCTCTAATAGGGTGTTCATGGTTTCAACTCTGCAATATTTAGAACCAAAACCGAACCAAATCAATAGATTATTGATCAGTTTGGTTTTGACTGGTTCGACTCTTCAATTTTTCAAATTTTTATATTTATAGTATAATATGTTATAAATAAATATATAATATAAATACTATATACATAATATATTATAATATACAATACATGTATATAATATATGGTTAATAATATAATATACACATATATATAAGCCGGTCAATGATATGTGAAAATCCAAGGCCCAATCCGACATCCAATCCAATTAGGGTAAATTTCTTAAACTACCCTTATGGTTTAGCTAATTGAATAAGTGTACCCTTACTGTTTGAAAATTGACTAACTATACTCCTGTCATTAACATCCGTTAATTCTCCGTTACAATCTCTACACATGTAACCCCACGTGACTTATAAAATTTGTTTCAAAAGGCAATATTACCCTCCTCCCATGAACCCCCACTATCTCTCTCTCTTCATTCTTAGACCACCCCTTTCGCCTCTGCTTCTCTCTCAGACCTCCCCCTCCCCCTTCGTCCCGGGTCTCTCTCTCCCCTTCTTTTTATGGAAGAAGAAAAAGAAGTGGAAGGAGAGAAAGAAAGGAAGAGATCAAAGAGAGAACTTGCAGTCGTCACCCCTATTTTCGTCATATTAAAAAGATTAACAGTGTGGATTTGTAATGCAATTGCTCCATAGTATGCTCAACAGTTGCCCCCGTCTTTGGTTTCGGTGTCCAACTGAAAACTGCTCTTATCATTATAATGTGAATGCTCCGCCAATTGCCACTCCTGTCTTTGGTCTCAATGTTCGAATGAAAACCGCTCTTCTCATATGCTCCCCCGTGTTTAGATGAGTTGCAGCGGCGGCGGCGGCAATGATGCAACAGTAAAATGAGGGAGAGGACGCGGAGGAGAGAAGAATGGGAAGAAAAAAAAAAGAAGAAGAAGTGTGAGAAAAGAAGAGAGATCAGAGAGAAAATTGCCATTGTTGTTTTTGGTTTGAGCAGAGGTCGATGATATTTCAGATGATTTGGGATCTGAAGAAGAGGAAATAAAGGAATGAACAGAGAGATAGATATGGGAGAGAATGGGCGGAGGGGTGCCGTTGGTTCACCGCCGCCAGTTCACCTTTGTTCATCACCGCTCACCGTTGGTTCACCTCTGTTCACCGCCGCTCATCACCTCTGGTTCACCGCCACTCATTTCCTCTAGTTCACAAGGGGTTGTCGTTGCCATCGCCGTCGCCCAAAGAATAAGAGAGAGAAAGAGATAGGGGTTTCATAGGAGGTTGCCACTGCCGTCGCCATTGCCCAGAGGACGAAGATAGAGAAAGAGAGATGGGTTCAGAGGGTGTTGTCGTCGCCATCGCACCTATTCGATTCACCTGTTCATTGCTTCTTCAATAGAGCACTCCATTGTTGAAGAAGAAAGAGGATGAAGGGTGTGACGATTCATTCATTGGTTCTCAAAAACAATAGGGCTAAATTAGTCTTTTCCATCTTTCTATTAACGGGAGCTAACGGTAAGGGAAGTATTAGTCAATTGTCAAAAACAGTAGGGGTAGTGTTAGTCAATTTTCAAACAGTAAGGGTACACTTAGTCAAATAGCTAAACAGTAAGGGTAGTTTAAGAAATTTACCCATCCAATTATCTCGAATTTGGATGATGTATTTATGCAATCAGGTCATATTCGAATTTTGGAATCTACACTTGATTAACAATCGGATCATATTCAAATTTGACTCCATCCAATCTGATTAAAATATGAATTTGATTACATTATAATATTTATTATTTGGGAAATTGTCAAAAACTCACCATGAGTTTTCAACATTTCTCTTAAACTCACCACAACTTTTCAAAATGTTTAAAACTCACCATGTCACTAACTTGATGTTAAAGAGACTAACGACTATGAATATATTACCATTTTAACCTTCATAGAAAATATAAAATATAAAATATATACATATATTTTAATATTTAGATATAAAAAAGGGAAGTTCAAATAATATTTTCAAATATAAAATATATAAAAACACAAAAATTGCAAAAAAATATAACAAATTATAGAAATTGCACACAAAATAAAAAACTATTTTCAAATTATAGAAACTATAGGTTGTAGAAAACACAAAAATTGCAAACAAATAACACAAAATACAGGAAATTTTATAGGTTGTAGAAAATAGAAAAGTAGAAAAAAATGTAAAAAAAAACAGAAATTATAAAAAACATTAGAAATTATAACAAAACACTAAAATGTAAAAAAAGAAAATTGAAAAAGGAAATAGACCCTTTTCCTCTAACTCGCCATTCAAGGGTGATTTGGTCATAAAAATTGTTTTTTATGCTGCTTTGGACACCTCTGTTAAGAAACATTAACGGTGCACTAACGGAAGGTGAGTTTTAGACAATTTCACTTATTATTTTAATATATCAATTTTACACAATCATATATAAAATTATAATATATTATATATGAACTTACATCTAATCAATCCAGTATGTTTAAGATTAAAAGATTAAAGGTAGTTAGATTAAAACCGAATTCAATCCGAGTTTCCTCAGATTTGAATCCAAATCTGAAGTCTTCAAATCCAATTTGATCTCAATTCGAATCCAATTACAGCCCTACATATATATACCGATTTATTTGGATAATAGGACTTCTCGATTCTTTTTTCGGGTTTCTTTATGAGCATCCCGGGTCTCTAATCATATTTTGGACACGTCATGCTTTAATCACAATTTACTTCATCATCTTCAAAACTAAAGATTAAATAAAAAAGGCATGTAATTAATTAATATAAATATGAAACTTTTAATTTATTAATCATAAATTTTATATAATCGTATGCATGTTATATCCATATATTGTAAAATTTAATCGAACGTGGAACTAAATCAGTTCATATGGGTCAAATCTTTATTCAATCCAATTAT